TTAAAATCAATAAAATAGAAGACCTTGGAGAAAACGTTTATATTTCTACAAAATATAACAACTTGGCATGGTATAGATTTTTGAGGATGTTAAATCAGCCTGCAGCATATCCAGTACACCCGGACTTTTATGAAGTCGAAAACCCTAATGGAACATATGAAAATGTTTTCGACCAAGATGCTATTATAGTTCATGCTTCATTTTCTGGTGCACAAAACTCTTTTTATGCTTGGCAAATGACTTTTACGAAAAACCTACAAAGCTATATGAACCACCAAGTGGAAGTATTTCAGACTTTCAAGTATGGTTTACAACAGATGGAAGAAAGAGAATAATTCCATTATACCATGCGTTTTACTTAGAACTTAGTTTCATATACAACTACTATCGAACGGTAAAAATATAATTTTTTAATACGGTTGAGGTGTTGGATTTGGTTGCCAACTAGACTGTGGTGCAGGTTCAGGCTGTTGTATAACAGGAGCTTGTTCTTCTGGTTCAGGGTCTTTAGGTATAATACCAACGAACTGACCTACTCTTTTACCAATATTTTTGACTCCGTTCCAAATTCCTCTTCCTACGGTTTTTATTCCATTCCATATACCTCTTCCAACATTTCGAAAGAAGTTTCCAATACTACTGAAGAAACCCATTTTACTATATGTAAAAATCTAATGTCCACCTAGTCTCTTACGTTTCCTGTTGAGTTCCATAGCATTTTTTAACTGGAGCTCATACATTCTATTTCTCCTCTGGTAGAAAACATACTCTGGGTCAACTCCTGTGTTCGCGTCATCTGCATAGAGTTGTTTATATCCCACTTCAGGGTTTGTATAAAACTCTTTCCATCTCATATTTGCATACCATGGTGGCAAACCTAACGCAGCGTCATTTGACATGGCAGTTTGCATTTGTACATCTGTTGGCACTTGACCATAGTTTGCCATTGCAGTTTGTATTCTAACTTCATTTGGAATATTCTCTGGGTTTGGTTGTCCAGGTTGCTGTGCATTCGCTAAGTTCTGTGCGTCCATTTAATATTAGATAAAAATATCTCTTACGAGTACATATACTGAACATTTGCTGGCATTGGTTCATCTTCATATTCTCTATATCTTTCTGCCACGTCAAATAAGTAAATGACACAATGGAAAAAACCTAAAACAAGTAGTCCTATTTCAAACCACATTTACTTACCAATAAAATTTCTTTGTTATGACACTTTCTCCAGTTTATAGGACCTCTCTCATATTCTATCTTATCGTATCTAAAATCATAGTCATGTATGTCCTCTAACCATCTCATGACACTTTCCAAACCACTTTTATCGGATGTAAAGTAAAAGCATGGATGGTTATGTAAAACGTCTAAAGTTTCTAAAGAGTCTCTCAAAGTCCAGTCTACTTGGTATTGAAAATCGTATGTGTTATAGAACGGCGGGTCTACTATAAAGAAAACATTTTCCTTGTTTTTATATTTTTCATACAACTCTGTCCAACGACATCTCACAAACTCTATACCCTCAGTATATTTTTCTATGTTCTCTTTGAAAACCTTTGTATAGTTAAGATATAAAACTTTTGACATAAGTGTTTCAATGTCATGAACTCTTATAGCACCACTATACAATAGTCTAGAAGATATACTATCCCAGTCAATATACTCTGCTTTTTTCAAAACCTCTCTGACAGTATTTTTCTTATCTAATGGTATACGTTCCATCTTACCTATAGGTATCTTTTCTTTTAACTCTTTCAATATTTTGTTTGTGTCTGGTATATGTTTGAGACGGTTCATATAGTTGTCGAAGTCATTGCATATAATCTTTGAGTCAGGAAATATTGTATGGCACAAATGAGATATATAGAAACTTCCACCGAACAAATCTACAAATGTTAGACCATTCGGTAGTTTCTTAAGTTCTCTCAATAGAATATCTTTACATCTACTCTTATTTCCAAAGAAGGGTAACGGTGGTTTTGTAAAATTCATTTTATATACAATAAAAATGTTTTTTCCCTGAAAAGTGACAGAAAAGTGACAAAACATCTTCGGGGCTAGAGGGCACGAAGTGCCTGGAAGCCCCAGTCCCTTTTTTTTTTTTTTTTTGTTACAATGTGCATTATCATATTCTAATGAATTATTCATTACATACATTTAAAAAAACTTGTTAAAAATGAAATTAAAAAATTATGTTTATTATTACGCTGTGAATGTGTCAACAGCGGTCATGCCTGTATCTGTATCCCATATTTGCCACAACCTTTCTGTATCTGCATTTGTGTATTTCGGTTTCAGCTGATACATTTGATTTGGCGTGTAATTTGTTCCAGTTAATGGATTAATTGGGAGATCTTCATGCGGTGTGTTATTATTGTACTCCCAAATAAAGGCAGGAATAGCCTGAATGCTTTGGCAGCGCTCCAATGTCGGCCAGAATCTCTCAATCTTCCCATTTTGGTAGGGAGAATGAGAGTCTGTATGCCGCCATTGGACGCCCCAAAGATCAAGTAGATCTTGAAAGGCGCCCCTATTTTCTGAACCGTTGTCGGTCCAGAAACAATAAGGGGCGCCAAATTCAATGAAGGCGGAAGCCGCAACGTTCGCTGTCGTCGCTGCCAGCATATCTTGTATTTGTATACACGCTAGGACTTTGCGGCTAAAATCGTCGATTATGCCATAAATATACTGGCCACGAACACCCCTAAAATAATGAACATCTGCGTGCCAGATAAGATTGGGTGAAAGCGCCCAATATCTTACTGCTGTTTCTGGCCCGGCATGCTCTAATCGCGTCTTGGTGAAATGATTTTCTTTGAAGTATCTGCGTACTTCTCTATAAGATACATCAATTTGTTGTAATTTCAAACGTTTCCATTGTTTTGTTTGACCACAGGGAAAGACCCAGTGGTCATGTATCACAGCAAGAGCTTTGATTTGGTCGTAGGGATTGACCCTACGACCTTTCTTGCCTTTAGGCAATGGGATATTCTGTAAGCTAAATTGATTTTGTAAAAAAGATTTTGAAACATCTAAATATTTGAAATCATTTGATTGAAGGGTTGGGGCGATGGGAACATGGGTGCAAGCTTCTTCCCATGTCATTTTACCTTCTTCAATCTGATTGGAAATACCAATTAGGTAAATTCGATCGACATACCCTTTGTAAGGATTCATTCTAATGAAGTACGTTAACAATCAAAATATTCTATAAGTGTCTAGTATGGAATTCAAAAGAATAAAGAAAATGGTAACGTTAGGGTTGTTAAAAATATCAAAAATTAGCGTTTTGAAGACACCATGGTGTCTTATAATTTTCCCTTCCTTATTGGCGTGTAGAAATAAATGCGCCAATAGATTGAAGAAGAAGAATTGTTTTTCTCTTAATGAACTTTAATCCTTTTGATATAAGAATATTAAAAACATTAATATAATTTCGATTTCGGAAATTAAATTTCCAAATTTTTTGTCGATTTCGGAAATAACAGGATCCCGCATCCAACACGCAACAACAAAACACAAAACACACTTTTTGGTTCTTTCATCGTTTTAATCGTAATTTATGTAATACATGATTTGGATAAATTTTACAAAAATAGAACCTATATTATATTCTTTTCAAAGATTCTTGCAAATCATCAACAATAATTGTATTTTAAAAAACGATCAAATTATCCTTTCATTATTTTAAACTTAAATTAGTTTTTATGATTGACTAAAGCAATCATATTTATTCATCATTAAATAAACAAAAAAATAATATTTGAGAGTTATTTCAAAAAAAACACATTGAATTTATTAATTTGTCTCAATTTCAGTATTATAAATTTTTATAATTTCAATATTTTGAAATACACTTTTTAATATTTCAATATTTATGATATTTCAATGTATTAAGTGGTCTCAAATTGAGCTTCTCAAATATAAGTTGGCCTATTCAAATAATAAAATTAAATAATATTTAAAATAACAAATAAAAGTGATTGAGGTCATAGCAAAACGGCTGTTTCAGTCATTAATTCTTAAAAATAAAAAAGGTAAAAACTAAATACAATGGGTAAAATTCAATAGTGTCTGTGCTATCGTTCAATTTGAAGGTGTCTTTTGAAACCGCAAGACACATTGAATTTTTGAATAGTGTATTATGGTTTGACAGACACCAATGAAAAAAATAAAATGATGTTTATTTTAAATATATAAGATCCTTATATAAAATATAAATATTTTATCGTTTTATTTTCTTGTTTTAGAAATGTTTTTTATTGAAAAATCAATAAAACTAACTCCAAAATAAAATTTTTGATTTAAAGACACTATGATGACACCAGGCAAATCTTCCAAGACACCTATCATCGGGAATCTAACAACCCTAGGTAACGTAAATAAACGTATTATGAAATAATTTATAATTAAAATGAAAAAAAGAAAAAATAATAAGTAAAGTGACTGGAAATGAAAATTAAAATCAGTGTACAGTTTTATTTTTTTCTCGCTGTGAAACGTATTCGGTCATTTTTTTAAAAATTAATTTTTTGTTAGAGATAAGAGCTAAAACTCGGTAAACAACTTCTTTATGTCTAGAAAATTCTATCTTGCCTTTTATTTTTTTCTCGCTGTGAAACGTATTCGGTCATTTTTTTAAAAATTAATTTTTTGTTAGAGATAAGAGCTAAAACTTTGCAGAACATTATCAACATTCTTTTGAAAATTGAGAACCATTCGGTAGTATCTCCCCACAATTATTTTGAGAAGAAGGATTATTTGTTATTATTGGACGTAAACACTACCTTTGTTTATAAAATACTGAATTTTTATTGTATCGTTTTCGATTCAACGTATCTGATTTTTTTGACATCTCTTTTTGCAATTGCAAACATTTACCACCATCAAATTTTAGAGTTTTTTTGAAGGTTAAAATTCTTTTCAAATAGATTCATTAACAATTTTGAATATACATTTAAATCTCGATCGTTATTACATTTCATTTTTATAAATAACCAATGCGTGTCTTAATATTGGTCGCACATCCTGATCCAACTCATGAAGCTACATCATTTAGGTTCGCTTTGTCTGCAAAGGCAGCACTTGAGGCAGCAGGAAATGAGGTTAGATATGTAAATTTAATTGCAGAAGGCTTTGACAAAGCTGGCTCCGCTGGAGACTTCAAGCAATTGAAAACAGATCCATTTACATACGATGGAAACCAAATGATCAAAGATAATCTGATCGATTGCATCAAAGTTCAACAAGAAAATTTACTTTGGTCAACTCATGTAGTCATCTTCGCACCTCTTTGGTTTGGAAGACTTCCATCATGCTTTTACTGCTACACAGAGCGTGTCCTTTCTTTCCCATTTGCTTATGATTACGAAAACTACATAGAGAAAGGATTTCTTAAAGGCAGAAAAGTAACATCAATCATATCAACAGGAGTAGATTCGTCATTCTTTGATCCAAAGAACGGAAATACATTGGATGCTTATGCATGGTCAGCAATGTATGGATTCGATTACTCTGGATTTACGATACTCCGTTCTCTAGGCATATATAGCGCAGTTGTTCCAGAGATGATCAAACAACAGCCTGAACTCATGAAAAAGATTAACGAAAAAATCGTTAAGCTCGATCAGTGGAAGACTGTTGGAAGCAACAAATGCTTTAACGCATTATGCTCTCTCGAAGAAGTTACCCCCGATAACATTCTCGTTAGTGAATAAATCTTTTTAGTAACTCTTTCCTTTACTTAATGATATTTTTTCTCTTGATAGGCAAAGAAACCATTTATATGAAAAATGATCGGTTGTAATGATCATTTTGAAAAAATTCTAATTTCTTTTACATTTAGAATAATTTGCTTGAGCTATTTAGAGTAATCTAATTCTATGAAAATAATATATTGTGAAAATTAAAAAATAAAATTTCGTTTCTTATTTTTAAACGTACACTAATCACCAAATGGAACAGATTTTACAGCAGATTAATGGCAAGTCAGTGACAGGGATCATATATGGGCTTGTAAATATCACTGATTTTGTGAAAACTAATCAATCGATACGAGATGAAGCAAATATAATTTTTGAATCACTTACACCGAAGCTAGTACATAATCATTACAAAATCAGATCGATATCTTTTGCACTTGTGGAATACTTATTTATCCAAAACTTCGAAGATATTGAAAATCCATTAATTGCTCTTTCAAATCTAATATTTGGGCTTCAATCCGTTAATAAACTTATTGTCCGCTCAGCAAAAATATCAATTAGAATAATTACACAGAAAATACCATATAAACTTTGGTGGAAAGATATCGAAACTGTTTTAGAAACAACAAAATCAAAAGAATGCGAATTAAAATTACTTAAAATTCTATCTCAACTAAACATTGAACTGCCTGCAAAGCCATTTTTAAAGAAATTAGAAAGCCCTGATAAAAAGGTACGTGAACGTACACAAATAATACTTAGCCGATGTACCAAAGATGATGTATTGAGAGCATTATCAAAATACAAAGTGAATTATTCTACATATAGAAGTGTTTGTGAATATTTAGATAATCAACATGATATTATTGCAAGTCGATCAAAAGTACAGAGCAATTTAGAACAAACAGATGCAACAAAAAATCTCAATGAGCGACAACGGTTCCTTTACATCGATCATCCAAAATTAAATGAAAATGATATGGATGAAAATATGTCTGTATCGCTTGGCCTTCTTAGTTCATCCACAAACTTATTATCCATTGACTCTAAAGATGATAAAGTCGATTTAAACTCACGAGATCAAAGAATCAAAAATAAACCATCAATTCAAGACGTGTTTGATGAAGAAACTAACTTGAACACCATAGAAAATGCCAAATCAAAGCCAGTTCAGAAAGAAAATCCTCAGCCAACACAACCAGAAATCGAAAACAAATTTTATTCAAGTTCATCACCACGTGCTTCTGATGAAGAAGACGTCATAAGTGTTAAATCAGCCCAATCAAAGTCTTCTATAGCAAGCGCTTTATCAAATAAGTCAAATCATGAAAATCAATCTGTTAAATCTAATGCTTCACTAACAAAAGAGAAAAATGAAGATAAATCATCAGTAAGTTCAAGATTATCAATGAAAAGTCAGCATTCTGAAAGCCAAAAATCACAATCAAGAAAATCTGCTCTTCAATCTGATGCTTCAAGCGTTTCTTCAGTGAAATCAAAGAACTCATACTTAGAAAAACAATCAATAAGATCAATTATATCAGACCACAAAGAAAATGAAGAGAAAATTAAAAGCGAAATTTCCGAATCTCAGTCAGAAAACCATATTACAAAAGAACCAATAGGGAGACTAGTTAAGAAACAAGTTAAATCACCATTATTTAACTTACGAGATCTCACAAATTGCACTTGGCTCGAGAGATTAACTTTTCTTGATGTAATTAGCAAAAGTTTGGATGATGGATCATATCAAAACTATGACGGAACAGAAATGCTTGAATGCGCTCTTTCAGGAGCTCTTCCTCTCCACAGAAAAGTTGTTGATACAGCGATGGACATAATTTCAAGAATTATTGTTTTATTTCCTGAATCTTTGACTACAAGGAACTTAGCAATTATCGTTAAATTATGTCTTTCTGTATCACGAGAATTTGGAGATAAGGAATCATACAGAGATTTGGTTGAAGCATTGATCCAAGAAGCCAATCCACAAATGGCAATTGAAGCAGCAATTGAATCAGAATTGAAGAGAAACAAACCAGTAAATTCTCCGAAATTTGTGTTAATGATCATAAAAGACCATGAAAACAAAGTTTCTCAGTATTCAGTCAAAACTGTTGAAGATATTTTATCATTCTTTATAAGAGAAAATCCGATTTCCCCTGATTCAGAAGACATTTTATCAATTATTTGTCGATTACATCATGATGTTGCAATTAGATTTTATAGAAGACAAAACAATCAGAACCAGACAATACTAAGGAGATTTATTCCTCATTCACTTCAGAATAAGCACAATAAACAAGAAGACAATGATAATGATGACTTTATTATTCCAACAAATTTAACGAAACATGAAAAAATCGAAATTTTACATAAAGAATGCAAAAAAGGAGACAGATCAAATATTTCTCTGATATCAGCAATGCTTGATATCATTGAGATTGATGATACGAAAGACTTACAGAAAGTATTTACATGTTTCTTGCTCCTTTATGTAAAAATTTCGCAATTTCATTACCAAAAAATTCAACAGAAATTATTTGATTTATCATCAAAATATTTCGCTTCTCCACATGTTTTGGACATCTTGAAATCACCGAAATTTGATAGATCTCTTATCCAAGGATTGTCTAAATTCTGCTGGAATTGTCCTACTTCTGTTTTTAATGGTGGAGAGGATTTGTATGAAACATTGTATTCCATTTTCTGTGAGATAGATGGAAGAGAAAGACAGAATATTGTAGCCATTGCATTAGCAATTGAAAGAGCATCTGGAATCTCATTCACTAGTTTACCTTCAATGAAACAAATTCATTGTAGAATGATTCAAAAAATTACTCAGCAATTTTATGTTGAGTAAATGGATTTTATATTTTTGTCCAAATTTATGTTATTTATGTAAATAATTAGCAAATCTATCATGCCATCCTTTCTTATTCTTTAATAATAATCAATATCATCTCAAGTATACTCAGAGTTTATCACTTTGAGGAAAAAAAAAGTTTTCTCCATTTTATAAAAGTAACTTTAAATGACTGAATTTATTATTTTGTCTATTCTAATATCAAAATACAATTAATATTTATGTATATTATAGCTAATTCATACATTATGAATAATTCAACAATCAGACAAAGCCTCCACACTTATTCAACCAATTATTATTTTAATATTTGCTCCATGTGGATGAATAATAATTGTCGTCTGGCGGTTTTAGACGACAATGCGAATTTTCGAATTAAAGGATTTTTAGCCAGATAAAGAGCCATTCCATATATAACACATGTTTGTACACTATATACATAGATGACATTGATATTCTTCCTTTATTTAGTTACCAAAACATGATTGTTAAAATCTCTTTTTAAGACCACAATGATAATTTTGTCACTATTCCAGACGACAATAAAACATCCTCAATAATAATTCACTTTAAAATACGCGTTTATTTTAGATCAACTTAAAAAATATGGCAATGTGATAAAAAATTGAGAGGTGTCCCTATAGTTAATTCTTATTTCTAAGGAAATTTATCTTCAAAATTATCACCAAAAGAAAGAAAAAGCTTGTCAATCATTTTTCATTGATATATGCACCATGTGAAATAAGGGTTCACTCGTTTCTTTATTCATTTTATTCGATGCATAGTGAAGAGCAGTGAATCCATCTTTATTATTTTTTTCATTGATATTTGCCCATGTGACATAGAACTTCGGCTGTGTCTTTATAATTCTAATAAACTGCACAACCAAGCGCAGGATTTCCACCATGTGAAATAAGAATTTCTTCTATTTCTATATGAAAATGAATTCCGGCATAATAAAGGGCTGTATTTTCAGAAATATCTTTTTCATTGATATTTGCACCATGTTTAATAAGAATTTCAACTATTTCTTTACTATTATAAGATGCTGCATAATGAAGGGCTGTTCTTCCAAATATATCTCTTTCATTGATATTTGCACCATGTGAAATAAGAAGTTTAGTTATTTCTTTATAATTCTCATGGACCGCATTATGAAGAGCAGTATTTCCAAATATATCTTTTTCATTGATATTTGCACCATGTGAAATAAGAAGTTTGGTTATTTCTTTACAATCTTCTATTAGTGATGGATGAAGAGCAGCATTTAAAAAAGTAGTATTTACATTTTTTGCTACCATTTCGAGAATACTACCTTCAACTATTTCTTTATATTTCCTATTCGATATAATAATATGATCATCATTAATGAATTTTGTATCATGTGGAATAAGAATTTCAGCCATCTCTTTACTTATATACTTTGTTGTAATATGAAGAGGAGTTCTACCATCATTATTTTTTTCATTGATTTTTACACCGTGCGAAATAAGAAGTTCAGCTATTTCTTTAAATCGATTTAATGCTGCAGCATGAAGAGCAGTGTTTCCATTTTTATCTATTTCATTGATATTCGCACCTTGTGATATAAGAAGTTCCGCTGTTTCTTTACAATTATTAAGTGCTGAAGTAAAAAGCGAGGTGTATCCTAATAAATTTTTTTCATTGATATTTGCACCATATGATATAAGAAGTTTGGCTGTTTCTTTACAATTAAATTTTGCTGCAATATGAAGAGCTGTTTCTTTACAATTAAATTTTTCATTGATGTTTGCCCCATGTGAAAGTAAATATTCGCAAAAGGATGGAATGTCAAACATTGCTGAAAAAATAAAGCATTTGTTAATATCATTTGTTTGATCGAAATATACTAATAATGATTCAAGATTATTATATTCGACGCTATCATATAAATTGATCCTTTTATTGTACTCATTCATCAAAAAAGTAACAAAATCAATGTTGTGTGAAGCAATTGCATACTCCATGCATTTATCATTTAGTTTTTGATATTTCAAACATTCGCTCATTATCTCTGGATTCCCACCTAAAAATGATAATTCTAGACATTTATCAGTTATTTCTGAGTCAAATTTTGTTCTTAATAACTTGAAACAATCAATTGCTCCATGATAACAACATAATTCGAGTAATGAATTTCCTTTATAATAATTTGGATATAAACTGCTTTTAAGTTTTCGACCTTCATCAAAATCATCTCTTTCAATGAATGTGATGAACCTATCTCTATCATCATACATAATTGCTCTGTAAATTGTATTTTCTGTATGAATATCGAGATTTTCTGATTTAATTTCTTCGAAATTATCAGACTTATCTAATTTAATTCCATATTCTTTATAATACAGGTAGTTAGATATAGTTGGGATAAGCTTAACACGGCTGACCTCTTTGACACGATAATCATCAGATATAAGTTTAGCAAGTTTTAAATATGACTTTGTATAGCGATTATTATACGGAATGACTTTCAAAATATCTCTTATAATGTTTTTTGGGAGACATTTCTTTGAATCAATCATTTCTGTTTTGATCATTTTGTAAATTGAGTTTAAATCTTCATCTTTTTCCGTTTTCAGTTGATACAAAGAATTATATAAATCGATGTGATATTTGCAGATACTTCGCAATTCGCCGATTTTATTTGGATGATTGTCTTTGTCGGACATAAAAATTTTTTTAATTCTTTTTCACTTTTTCAATTTGCTACTCAAATTTTGTGAAGTATTCAAAATAAAAATGAAAAATTTTATTGAAAAAGCGCGCAAAGAATGATGACCTTTTTACACTTTTTGAATTGAAAATTCAAAAAGTGTAAAAAGGGTGGTAAATTTTCTGGAAAAAATCGTCACAGAAATATTGCCATTTTACTCCGAACTAAAGAAAGATGTTTTCTGAAAAGGTGATTAAAAAATTTAAATCTTAAAAGAGAGAAAAAATCTGAAAATGGTATAGATTAATTAATTAAAATATCTTTGGATTACAATAGGAAATCAATGATCACAAAGATTCGTGATGAAATAACTTTATCACAAAATTAGTTATTAAAATTTCTATAAGAAAATAAGTAGAAATATATAAGAAAATTCATGTGATAGAATAATTTACAACAAAAACACAACTAAATAATAAAAATTAGAAAGCAGCCCACATAAAATTAGATATGTCATCATTTTCAAAGGCATAGCTATCAATTTCAGGCTGTGGGCTGAGTGGCTGCTCATGGAAATTATTAAAATCCTGAGCAGGCTGTTCAATTATCGGTGCAGGAGGAGCGGAAGTGAATTGATTATTCATTCCTATTGACACTCCTGGTAAATTCATCATCTCCAACTGATTTGGGGGTGGAGTAAAAAATTGTTGAGTTTGATTTTGATTTTGCAATGTTTTCTGCAAAAACTCTGCTATACTTGATGGTTTTGGAGCAGATGACATTAATTGTCTAACTGTCCATTGTCTGAGCTCTGAAAAGTTGTTATTCCACTCTGGGAAAACTTTTATGAGTTCTCCACATGAATCAACGCCTGCCGGTATTGTTCCATAGCCAAGCTGCTGGAATGATCCGTTTATAGATGATTTGCACTTAGAAAGGATCTTGATCAATTGCCTGGTATTGATTGCGATTGAATCTTTCAACCAATAAATGCCGCAAACTAGTGCTCTGTTTCTATCTTCTGAATCACCTCTCATGACAAAGGCCTTTAAAGAGTCAATGATCTCTTTAAATGTTTCTGCGCTTTTGTTTCTTCGATTTTTGCAATTCGCACTTGAAAAAGTTGTTCGGAGAATCATGTATGTTTGCTTGTCTTGTTCGCTGAGTCGTTCCCAGTAGCTTGGACGAGGATCTGGTTCTTCGGCCGGCATGAAAAATAATTTGGAATTTCAAAATTTTCAAAATTCAATGATTGAGACTACGCGACCAAACAAACTGTCAAAAATTTCGAAACTACAAGGATTTTTTAGAACTTAATATTCCCAATATCCATATTGCATACAGAGTATTTTCAAAAATTTATTTCAATAAAATTTTGTTTACCAATTTTTGGATATTTTATCAGTTTATACTTGTATTCACATTTCAGTTTTATCAATAGAAATTTTTCCTCTCAATCCGGAAAGAAAATTTTTTTTGGAGAAAAATTTTCATAAATTTACTGATTCAATTCAAATTTCTGTAAATTCGATCATTAAGATATCAGAACAATATCGAAGAATTGGATACGGGGACATTTTCAATGCTGATCCTGCTCGATATCATTGAAATCCTGGTGAGAAAAGCTGTTCTTTTAGGATCTTCATTGAAATCATACTGTAAGTAACTGAAAACAAGTTTGAAACAAAATGTATCTTCCGAAGTTTAATAAATTATGGATCCTTTTTGGGAATATATCTTATAAAGCTTAAAATGTACTTTAATTTCTCTTAACTTTGAATTAAGGAATGCATTACATATGAGGGATTAATGTAAATATATCATTTGCTTCTTGAGTTGTGCTTTGATCTAAAGATATTACATATTTCCGAATAATATATTTTCAAAAAAATACAGAATACATCACCGTCTTTGTGAACAGCTCAATATATAGATAGAAACTAAAATATTCATTATGACAGCTAATGCTTATATAATACTAAGATAGTAAGTGTAGCATTTGTTTTGTAAAAAAATATTGAATTGTGAGATCTCTCTCAAACATTTGAGATAATACAAATTCTTTTCATTTGCCATAATATTCTTCTTGATTTGTAGCATGAATATTATTCAAAATGACAAATTGAAGATATCAATCAAGGATATTGGAGCTGAGCTAACAAGTATCTTTAACAAAGCAAAGAATCGTGAGTATTTATGGACTGGCAATCCAAAGTATTGGAGTGGCCAATCACCATTGCTCTTTCCTTTCATCGGAAACAACTGGAACATGAAGTATAAATACGAAGGAAAAGAATATTCCATTGATAAACATGGATGGGCGAGATTTAAACAATTTGAAGTTGTGAATAAGACATCAGATCAAGTTACTTTTAAGCTCACTAGCAATGATGAAACAAAGAAATCATATCCATTCGATTTCTCCTTAAATGTTTCATATACTTTAAAGGATTGGCAACTCAAAGTTGATTGGAAGGTTTCAAATCCATCCAACAAGTCAATGTTCTTCCAAATTGGAGGACATCCGGGCTTCAACTACGTTGATTTCAAAGAAGAAGACAAAGTCAAAGGGTATTTCCAAACAAATTGCAACAAAGTTTTGTTTAAGCTTGTTGGAGCACAAGGATGCCTTAACGTTGATAAAGTATACACTCTTGAATCCCCAGATGGAATATTTGAGCTCAGACCAGAAATGTTTGATAATGATGCATATGTAATCCAGGATACACCAATAGAATGGCTCCAATTACTTGATAAGAACAAAAAACCATACGTCAAAATGGACTATAAGTTCCCTGTCACAGGAATTTGGACTCCTGCTGGAAAGAATGCCCCATTTGTTTGCATTGAGCCATGGTATGGATGCTGTGATCGCCAATATTATGATGGAGATTTGGCTCATAAGGATTATATCAATGAATTGAAAGGAAATCAAGATTTTGATGCCTCATATACAATTTCAATAGTGAACGAGTAAACATCTTACTATATATACCTTTTTAGTAAACATATACAAAGTACAAGTCAATAAATTTATTTAATTCAAAATATTTGATAATAATTGTGAATATTTAGTAATTTGAAAATGAAACTAAGTTATATGTGTTATTGGCATATGAAATGAACAATTCTTGTCCCTTGATATTGGTTCATTGGCATAAAAAAGTCGTCACAAAAATGGGTGTCGCTGAATCAGGAGTTGATTTTAACTCATTCCTTGCGAACTGCTGCGTTCAAGATAAATCACAGGATGATTCATACTGGACTGAGTTGATTAGACATGTTTGGGATAGAAGCGAATTAAAAATGCCAAATCCAAGATTAATTGACGAAATTGCAACAAGAAATCCGAATAATTTACTACGCTTATTCAGGGAATGCATTAATTTTATGGAGTTTGTTAATAATGCCGAATCCGCTGACATTTTCCCACAGATCATTTTCAATCAGATTTCGGAAATCTTATATACATTTACATGCGCTGTTATATCATGCACTACTAATCCTAATCATATGGATTATTATAACTACGTATTAGGCTTAGATAGTAAAGTTTATGACGAAATGCCAGAAGAACAACGCATTGCAGAAAAATCAAAGCCATCATTATTAACAAGATACTTAACTGTAGTATACAAACTATTTTTCAAGCCAGGATTAGTTGTTAAAAAAGATCAGAAAATTTGGAGTGTTTATCCCGAAGATCCGATATCAATGATACTTCTCCGATATGATCTTGTTTCATCTCTACTTATGCTTATGAATATTAACTTGATTTCCATGCAACAAATCCCAAAAATTAATTTCAACATTGAAACACCTTTCCCTTCTGAGCAATTCCTTAGATCTGTCTTGAACATATCGAAATATACAGACAAAATTGCCAGTGAAAAGATGACAATGCAATATATCCAGTCTTCTATCATTTTCTGCCTTTCCGCTTCATTCTGGCAGCCCGATTTCGTTCAAAAATTAACCAACATCCATCCTCAAGAGATAGTTCTTTCAATTGCCGGATCATCAAAATTACCTTTCCCAAGGAAGCCGAATTTCACAAGTACATCGTTACTAACATCAGAATGCCTTTCAATGTGCTATCTTTGCTGCATCTGGAATCGCGATTTGATCACTTATATTGCACAAAACCAAATTTCGAATTTATTTATTTACGAATTGTTGGCATTGTCGCAATATACCTTTGAATCAATCGGTTTGACTGTCGTTCATACGTTTATTTTGTCATTAATCGACATTTTACTTTTGGAAGAGTCCTCTTGCCTTGAACTCAACAAATCGTTTACAGGTAGCTTTGATTGTACATTTAGACCACATCGTGGTAACTATTGCGACATTCTTTTGGAATTTATTTTGAATATTTCTTCAAAAGAGACGGATACATTGATTTGCCGCATTATCAAGAGAATGTTACCAACAGCAAACTTCTCTGTATCATCATGTTACAAACTTTTCAAGTTTTTCCCTTCGAATTTAGAAGGAGAGCAAATTTCAATGCTTCTTGAAGGATTTGCAGGCACAGTTCTCATGAACAAAGAAGAGACAATCAACACAAGAGTCTTTATTATCCAGAAAATCAGTTCAATTAAGAAATCTTCAGGAGATTCGACAAAACCACTTGAACAAATCATTTCTTATGTTAATAACTTTCTTCCTAAGTTTGGAAAGCAGAAAGTATCACTTGATGAAGCTATTAAAATCATAAACAGTGTTGAAATTCCTCAATCAAACGAAATTTACCAAACCAATCATTTAATGGTAAATATGAGGATATGGAAGGATTGGAGTGAATTGTTGTTCACCAAAGCACACAACAAATCAATCCAGAGATACAGACAAATTAATTTGAACTACCAAGCTCCAGTTGAACTTAAGGATTAATTCCTCCGCATCTGTGTAAATAATGTTTTGTATATTACTATCCTTATTCTTTTTTCTTTTACTTTCAATAAAGGAAATCTTTTATTTAAATATTTTTTGAATTTTATTTAAGGGTGCACTTACCACTTTCTGACATTCTCTCAAATTTCTTGTTTAAGGTTTTATTTTCTACATCTCTTCACACCCGTATATCTCTTTTTGAGAGAGTGTCAGAAAGTGGTAAGTGCACCCTTAAGGGTGCACTTACGCCCCTATGACATAGCGTTCAATTCAGATATTTAAGGTTAATTTTCAATGACGCTTCACGCCAGTTGTCAAAAATTTGAATTAAAGTCAGATGGGCGTTAGTGCAGCCTTAAGTGTGCACTTACCACTTTCTGACATTCTCTCAATTATTAGATTTCACCCCAATATAAGCAGATTTTTTCTTTTCAGATTTATTTTTTATATGAACATTCAATAATAGGTCATAATATTATATCGGATCTTCATGATAACAACGATTTGAACCTCTTTTGTCAGAAAATTTGAGAAAATTTCAAAAAATGGTAAGTGCATTCTTAAGAATGCCTCTATTTTCCTTGCATTAATATAGGAGGTGTGCATTGTTGAAAAGGAAGCCAAAATAACTAGATCAAGAGGTGTATCAACTAACCAGTACTTCAATGTTCTTCTTCACACCTACATTGTATGGCCACTACCACCCGATAGATTCGAATCAGCCCCACGAAAATGTGCCCTCACAAAGTCTGGAAAGATATTTAGTTTCCTCATTACTCCATAGGCCCATCTCTTTGCCGTAAAGCACTTTGGCCATGAATACTTCTACGGTGACAATGATACAAAGTGCTGGTCCGGTATTGAGCTCGAAGATGGAGGTTCCGCCGAAACAAAATTATATCATCCTGAATCTCGTATCTATACATCAGAAATAATGGTTGGTGTTAGTCTCCAGACTGAGAACGGTCCATTCAACAGAATTACAGATGTTTCAATAACCTTATTGAGGAGGTTTGTCATCTGGTTTTGAAGAAGGAAAATACTTTTAATCATTTATTTTTTCTAATGAAATTCTTCCTGGAAAATACCATAAAAATAAAGAATAATATCTTATATAAGAACATTATTTTTTAGCACCATGTGAAATAAGAAATTCGGCAGTTTCTTTACTATTTTTCTTTGCTGCAATATGAAGTGCGGTTTCTCCATCGTTATCTTTTTCATTGATATTAGCACCATGTAAAATAAGAAGTTCAGCAGTTTCTTTAAAATTATTCCATGCTGCAATATGAAGTGCGGTTTCTCCATTATTATCTTTTTCATTGATATTAGCACCATGTAAAATAAGAAGTTCAGCAGTTTCTTTACTATTATTCAATGCTGCAATATGAAGCGCGGTTTCTCCATCGTTATCTTTTTCATCGATATTAGCACCATGTGAAATAAGAAATTCAGCAATTTCTTTACTATTATTCAATGCTGCAATATAAAGTGCGGTTTCTCCATCTTCATTTTTTTCATTGATATTAGCACCGTGTGAAATAAGAAGTTCAGCAATTTCTTTAAAATTATTCAATGCTGCAATATAAAGTGCGGTTTCTCCATCGTTATCTTTTTCATCGATATTAGCACCATGTGAAATAAGAAATTCAGCAATTTCTTTATAATTATTCAATGCTGCAATATAAAGTGCGGTTTCTCCATCTTCATTTTTTTCATTGATATTAGCACCATGTGAAATAAGAAGTTCAGCAGTTTCTTTACTATTATTCCATGCTGCAATATGAAGTGCGGTTTTTCCATTATTATTTTTTTCATTGATATTAGCACCATGTAAAATAAGAAGTTCAGCAGTTTCTTTAAAATTATTCCATGCTGCAATATGAAGTGCGGTTTCTCCATTATTATCTTTTTCATTGATATTAGCACCATGTAAAATAAGAAGTTCAGCAGTTTCTTTACTATTATTCAATGCTGCAATATGAAGCGCGGTTTCTCCATCGTTATCTTTTTCATCGATATTAGCACCATGTGAAATAAGAAATTCAGCAATTTCTTTATAATTATTCAATGCTGCAATATAAAGTGCGGTTTCTCCATCTTCATTTTTTTCATTGATATTAGCACCATGTGAAATAAGAAGTTCAGCAGTTTCTTTATAATTATTCAATGCTGCAATATAAAGTGCGGTTTCTCCATCTTCATTTTTTTCATTGATATTAGCACCGTGTGAAATAAGAAGTTCAGCAATTTCTTTAAAATTATTCAATGCTGCAATATAAAGTGCGGTTTCTCCATCGTTATCTTTTTCATCGATATTAGCACCATGTGAAATAAGAAATTCAGCAATTTCTTTATAATTATTCAATGCTGCAATATAAAGTGCGGTTTCTCCATCTTCATTTTTTTCATTGATATTAGCACCATGTGAAATAAGAAATTCAGCAATTTCTTTATAATTATTCAATGCTGCAATATAAAGTGCGGTTTCTCCATCTTCATTTTTTTCATTGATATTAGCACCATGTGAAATAAGAAGTTCAGCAGTTTCTTTATAATTATTCAATGCTGCAATATAAAGTGCGGTTTCTCCATCTTCATTTTTTTCATTGATATTAGCACCATGTGAAATAAGAAGTTCAGCAGTTTCTTTATAATTATTCCATGCTGCAATATGAAGTGCGGTTTTTCCATTATTATTTTTTTCATTGATATTAGCACCATGTAAAATAAGAAGTTCAGCAGTTTCTTTAAAATTATTCCATGCTGCAATATGAAGTGCGGTTTCTCCATTATTATCTTTTTCATTGATATTAGCACCATGTAAAATAAGAAGTTCAGCAGTTTCTTTACTATTATTCAATGCTGCAATATGAAGTGCGGTTTCTCCATTATTATCTTTTTCATTGATATTAGCACCATGTAAAATAGAAGTTCAGCAGTTTCTTTACTATTATTCAATGCTGCAATATGAAGCGCGGTTTCTCCATCGTTATCTTTTTCATCGATATTAGCACCATGTGAAATAAGAAATTCAGCAATTTCTTTATAATTATTCAATGCTGCAATATAAAGTGCGGTTTCTCCATCTTCATTTTTTTCATTGATATTAGCACCATGTGAAATAAGAAGTTCAGCAGTTTCTTTATAATTATTCAATGCTGCAATATAAAGTGCGGTTTCTCCATCTTCATTTTTTTCATTGATATTAGCACCGTGTGAAATAAGAAGTTCAGCAATTTCTTTAAAATTATCCAATACTGCATTATAAAGTGCGGTTTTTCCATCGTTATCTTTTTCATCGATATTAGCACCATGTGAAATAAGAAATTCAGCAATTTCTTTATAATTATTCAATGCTGCAATATAAAGTGCGGTTTCTCCATCTTCATTTTTTCATTGATATTAGCACCATGTGAAATAAGAAATTCAGCAATTTCTTTATAATTATTCAATGCTGCAATATAAAGTGCGGTTTCTCCATCTTCATTTTTTTCATTGATATTAGCACCATGTGAAATAAGAAGTTCAGCAGTTTCTTTATAATTATTCAATGCTGCAATATAAGTGCGGTTTTCCATCTATTTTTTTTTCATTGATATTAGCACCATGTGAAATAAGAAGTTCAGCAGTTTCTTTATAATTATTCATGCTGCAATATGAAGTGCGGTTTTTCCATTATTATTTTTTTCATTGATATTAGCACCATGTAAATAAGAAGTTCAGCAGTTTCTTTAAAATTATTCCATGCTGCAATATGAAGTGCGGTTCTCCATTATTATCTTTTTCATTGATATTAGCACCATGTAAAATAAGAAGTTCAGCAGTTTCTTTACTATTATTCAATGCTGCAATATGAAGCGCGGTTTCTCCATCGTTTCTTTTTCATCGATATTAGCACCATGTGAAATAAGAAATTCAGCAATTTCTTTATATTATTCAATGCTGCAATATGAAGTGCGGTTTCTCCATCTTCATTTTTTTCATTGATATTAGCACCATGTGAAATAAGAAGTTCAGCAGTTTCTTTATAATTATTCAATGCTGCAATATAAAGTGCGGTTTCTCCATCTTCATTTTTTTCATTGATATTAGCACCGTGTGAAATAAGAAGTTCAGCAATTTCTTTAAAATTATCCAATACTGCATTATAAAGTGCGGTTTTTCCATAGTTATTTTTTTCATCGATATTAGCACTGTGTGAAATAAGAAGTTCAGCAGTTTCTTTACTATTATTCCATGCTGCAATATAAAGTGCGGTTTCTCCATTGTTATCTTTTTCATCGATATTAGCACTGTGTGAAATAAGAAATTCGGCAGTTTCTTTAAAATTATTCCATGCTGCAATATGAAGTGCGGTTTCTCCATTATTATCTTTTTCATCGATATTAGCACTGTGTGAAATAAGAAGTTCAGCAGTTTCTTTACTATTATTCCATGCTGCAATATGAAGTGCGGTTTCTCCATTATTATTTTTTTCATTGATATTAGCACCATGTAAAATAAGAAGTTCAGCAGTTTCTTTAAAATTATTCCATGCTGCAATATGAAGTGCGGTTTCTCCATTATTATCTTTTTCATCGATATTAGCACCATGTAAAATAAGAAGTTCAGCAGTTTCTTTACTATTATTCAATGCTGCAATATGAAGCGCGGTTTCTCCATCGTTATCTTTTTCATCGATATTAGCACCATGTGAAATAAGAAATTCAGCAATTTCTTTACTATTATTCAATGCTGCAATATAAAGTGCGGTTTCTCCATCGTTATCTTTTTCATCGATATTAGCACCATGTGAAATAAGAAGTTCAGCAGTTTCTTTATAATTATTCAATGCTGCAATATAAAGTGCGGTTTCTCCATCTTCATTTTTTTCATTGATATTAGCACCATGTGAAATAAGAAGTTCAGCAGTTTCTTTATAATTATTCCATGCTGCAATATGAAGTGCGGTTTTTCCATTATTATTTTTTTCATTGATATTTGCGCCAAGTGATAGGAAATATTCACAAAGGGATGGAAAATTAAATAGCGGTGTATAAACAAAACATTTGTTTATATCATTAGTTTGATCGAAATAAACTAAAAATGATTCAAGATTCTTATGTTTTCCGCAATAATTTAAGTTGATCTCTATTTTGTGCTCATTCATCAAAAATGTAACAAAATCAATGTCGTGTGAAGTAATTGCATATTCCATACATTTTTCATTTGGTTTTTGATATTTCAAACATTCACTCATGATTTCTTGATTTCCTCCTAAAAATGAAAATCTGAGACATTTTTGAGTTATTTCTGACTTAAATTTAGTTCTTAATAACTTGAAACAATCAACTGCTCCATGGTAACAACATAATTCAAGTAATGAATATCCTTTCTTAGAATGTGGATATAAATGGCTTTGAAGTGTTTGATCTTTATCAAATTCATCTCTTTCAGTGAATACGATAAATTTTTCTTTGTCATTATACATAATTGCTCTGTAAATTGTATTTTCTGTATGAATATCGAGATTTTCTGAATTATCTTCTTCAAAATTGGCAGATTTGTCTAATTTAATTCCAAATTCTTTATAAAACAGTATGTTTGGAATATACATGAGTTTGTTGACTTCTTCCACATGATATTCATCATATATGAGTTTGGCAAGAAATAAATATGACTTTGCATAGCGATTGTTGTAGGGAATGATATCTAAAATATCGCGTATCATTGTTTGAGGTGGAAATTTCTTTGAATCAATCAATTCTGTTTTGATCATTTTGTAAATCTTGTTTAATTCTTCTTCCTTTTCCGTTTTTAGCTGATACAATGCAAGACATGAATCGATATAGTATTTGTAGATACTTCGCAATTTGTTGTATTTGCTTGGATCAACGTCTTGGTCAGACATTAATAATTTTTGCAAAAGACATATTTGTATTTTACCATATAAAATATCCCTAAAATTTATTGGTAGAAAAAAATACTATCTTATACATGTGGAAAACAATGACAATAAAGATTTCGGATATAAATTATGAATTTTGATTAAGTTCATGGATATGAAATGATACAGTAACAATGGAAAAGCCGTTTACAATAGAATTTTCATCAAGATACTTGATTTATTAAAGATTTTTTTTGCCAATCATTCTAAATCAATTGATTCTTGGAATATAGATAAAAGGATATATTTAATTAATAAAAATATTTCGTACAATCTCTTTTTTTCGGTCAAAGAACAAGCATATCTTATTGTCCGAAAGAGTTAAATAAAGTTTTATGATCTATACATAAGCTTGTCTAGTAGGTGATTTTTCGCCAGAACCGGAGATTCTTTCAAAAAATTTCGGGCCTCGGGCGATAAATCTCCCTCGGCCAAAATGCACATCAATTTATAGTCAGAGGCAATCAATTCCCAAAGAGCCCTTTTTTTCTTTCTTATTTTTTATTACTGTCAGTGATTTTGAATGGGTATTTTAACTTTGAGTGGCCACATTGAGTTTTTGAGGTCGATATTTTTGGCCTATTTTAAAATATTTAGAATGACCATTCAGCCAGGGCGCTTATAGAAGCATCAGATAATGGGTGGTCGGATAGCTCGAAACGTGACAAAGTTGTCCAAAATAATATTTTTAAAGATAAATCTAAAATTTCTTTTATATAAATAGTGATAAGTTAGAATATTAAGTTTGAGTGAGATTTTTGAAAAATTTCCTAAAAGTGATTTTGGGAAGCCAAAATTATAATAAATATTAATAAATGCTAATTTAAACGCTAAATCAAAATAAAAAATATAAGGTAATTTTCGTGGGTTAAAAATCAAAATCATATTCTTGATTTTTATTTAATATTTATATTCCTGTAGTTAAATGAAATAAATTTATCCATATCATTTGAGGAGAATTGCATGAATTAGAAAATTGGCGGGGTTTAGCGATCTTAAATTCTCTTTTATAGAAATATTTGAATTGATTATAGCTTAGCTGGATAACATCCCGATCAAGTTCGATTCTAGTTTTTGTTATTATTTTTTTTCCTTTTCCCTTCCTAAGCGAAATTTTAAGGGGTAAAGTTGTTAAATCCATACATATACTTATGTTAATGTATAATATATGTAACTTCTGATATTTTATGCTGAATCTCAAAAAATATTTATTTGATTTTCATTAATTTCGACAAAAAAATGTTCTAAATACTATATATATTTTATATGCATACTGAAACGTCCCTATTATGGACTTTGCCAATTTAGGTCCATGAAAATTCAATATAGCACACTAAAGCCGCAATACCCATTCAAAATCACTGATAGTATTATTTTTTTTATTTCTTATTTTTTTGCACATTTATCTGTTTATATCTTTAAAGCACTATCATTATATTTCATAGATTACAATTTGTGTGAATATATGGGTATATTTTAAAATATCCTAAAGCAAAGAGAGAATTTAATTCTAAATATGAAATCTAGAGATTCCATGTTAATCATTCAAGAATCACTTACTTACATCTCAGGTTTTACTCTAAACAAGCTGGTTTGACCAGTTAGGAACTCATTTATCATTTTCCGTTATGTAACAGAAAAAAAATAAATTTTTTCAAACAAAAAATATGAGTGAAAAACAGCTTCCAAATCCAGTAAATCCGCATTCAAAAGTACTCAAGTTTAAGAAGACAAAGGGTGAACCAGCAGATTCAACAACTTTAATGGGCGTTATTAACTTATACAGAAAACAATTCGGACAAGATACACTTGAAGTTGATAATTTTCTAGCTCAATATATTCCAGCAGCAATAGAGAACAAACAGTTGAAAATAGTGAAGCCAAACGAAATAACAATTCAGCATTCAGTGATTGTTGATAACTTTAAAGGACAGACTGCACTTGCATTTATAAAATCATGGATTAGAGAATCGGATAAATTAAATGCATTATTATCACCTGGAAATTGCGGATATATAGATATTGTTCAGCCAAAAGAAGGAATTCAAAAGCTTGTACTTATTATTGCATTAATATACAAATAAATTTAGTTGTTCTGTCATTTAACCTTTCTTCTATTAGCAGATTTTTCTAAATATATTCTTGTTTTTTTATAATTATTACCTTTTATATAAATGCTTTAACTGATATTTTCATGATTGAATGATCCCAATTTAAAATTATGCTTTGGAAATGCTATAATAAAATTGAGTTGAAATCTTCAATTCAAATCAGAAATGCTGAGGTTCTATATAAACTAACTGTTTTATTGCATGCAAACGTAAAAAGATGGCCATCATTCGCAACCTTTTCTTATTTGATCAAAGATTTCCGATTCGAAAAACATAAGTAATCGGGTTTATGTTCATATTTCAATATATATTATAAATCCATTAAATTGTTGGAAGAAAATTAGTCTGAATATGAGCTAAGGCTGTATCCGGATACGACGGTTTTTTCAAATGATTTTGTTTGCATCTCTTTGCCTTTTTGGTCTTTTCCGAAATTGGGCAAATAAGGCAGATAGAACGACAATAGCAACAGATACCACCAAATCATCAAATGAATTAAATTCTTTACACGATTTTAAAAATGAAATTTCTGAAAACAATATGGACGAATTAGATGCATATCTTTTAGAAGTATCTAGCTCATCATCAAGTTCTTCTACACAAGAAAGTCCAGGAACGGACCCAACTGAAGATTCAAATTCTAGTTCTGCAACTGAAACTTCATCCTCACCTTCTACAACAGAATCTTCATCACCATCAACATCAGAATCTCCGTCATCTTCTAGTTCAGAGTTAGATCCAACTCCTTCATCAGAAAGCATTCCACCTCTAACTCCATTTGATACGATGTTTACGACTCCTTTAATCACTCCTCATTTCACCACACCTGCCGATACACCATTCTCAACAGCCTTTTCCACAGCTCATTCTACTCCTCATACAACGCCTTACTCAACATGGCACTCTACCCCCCATTCTACCCCACATTCCACAGCGCATTCTACCCCAGATTCCACCATGCATTCTACGCCTCATTCCACTCCAGATTCTACCATGCATTCTACTCCTCATTCCACTCCAGATTCAACAATGCACTCTACACCGCATTCTACTCCAGACTCAACTATGCATTCGACACCTCATTCAACACCACATTCAACACCGGATTCTACCATGCATTCTACACCACATTCTACTCCAGATTCCACAATGCACTCTACCCCTCATTCTACGCCAGATTCCACAATGCACTCTACCCCTCATTCTACGCCAGATTCTACTATGCATTCAACACCTCATTCGACTCCTCACTCTACTCCTCATTCTACACCACACTCAACACCTCATTCAACTCCAGCTTCTACACCACACTCAACACCTCATTCAACTCCAGCTTCTACACCTGCATCCACTCCAGCAACAACTCCTGCTGATACACCAGCAATCACAGAGAATGAAGCTGCACAAGCATTCGGAAGTACAACATTCATTGTTCCGATGACTATTGTTTTGATTGTTACCATTTCTCTTATTGTTGTTTTTGCACTCATTGCCATCAAAGTTGTTGGAGGTGGTAACGAAAAGTCTCATTCTGATGACTCTTGGCATGATCCTCTTCATTATGCAATTGATTCTGAGCTTATTGATGCTTAATTGTGTATTTTAGTTATTTATATCTTTTTTATTTTGTTCAAATTTTAAATTGTAGGTTCTCTCGTTTACGAAATTATAATTTTTCAAATTTTTTCATATGGAATAGGATTTTGAAGTAATTACCATAATAATCTAGTGAAAAGATGATATTTTCTACAAAGTCATGTCATAAAAGCATATAATTAGATGATATCTTATTTAAAATTATGAATCCTATTTGAATTGTGATAATTTTGGAGAGCAAATTAATGATATTTCCTTGAGTGTGGTAATTGTATGATAAATATAAGTAGAATTCTTCACAATTGAAAGAAAATTTTATCGAAATCAGAGAAATGAATGAATAACGAATGAAAACATATACATCATAAAGTAAAGATACTCTGAGGCTCTATTGCTAGAGTGTTAAATCTACGAGAGAATGCTCTGGAATATGTTCTAGAAATTGAGATGTTTTTAGCGGTTTTTTCGTCCTTTTTGGCCCAATGCCTCGTCCAGTTCTTCATCAGGAACACTTCAAGATTCCAGAGAACATCAAGTGCACAGTTAAGTCTGGTGTTGTCACAATCGAACACCAAGATCCAAAGGATAAGAAGACAAGCAAGCTCGTCAAGGATCTTTCCCACCTCAAGCTTGACTTCGAATACGATGAAAATGATCACCAGATTGTTGCCCGCTGCTGGTTCGGTAACCGTAAGCTCCTTGCCCGCATTGGTACACTCTTCGGCATCGTCAAGAACATGATCACCGGTGTTACACTCGGCTGGCGTTATAAGATGCACTTCGTTTACTCCCACTTCCCAATCAAGCACACATGCTCTGAGGATGGCCGTACATTCGACTTCAATGGTTTCATGGGTCACAAGGAACACAAGATTGTTACAGCTCCAGAAGGCGTTAGAATCTGGTCCAACGAATCTGTTGCTAAGGATGAAATCAACATCGAAGGTGCCAACCTCGAAGATGTTTCCCTCGTCTGCGGCCAGATCCACCAGCTTACAAAGATCAAAGATAAGGATCTTCGTAAGTTCCTCGATGGTATCTACGTCCAGCACATCGAACACCTCAAGGAGGAATAAATAAATTATAGATATTTATTTGGTAAATTACTATAGCACAACTTACTTTTTATCTATTAATTAATCACTTATTCATGGCTTCTCAAAGTAAAATAATGAAATATATCTTTTTCAATCTTGAAATAAAGAGATTGATAGTAGTCTCAATGATTACGATGTATTGTATATATGATAACTATTCTCTCAGATACAGTTCATGATTTGCTCATTTGAGTGAAAGAAATAATAGTAGGATTAGCACCATTTCTGCATGCCAATAATCTATGTCAATTACAATGATAACTTAGCATGTCTTCATTTTGAGTAGTGAACAAGTGATTTAATCTTCGTAATTTGATATCAAGTAAGTGGCAGAAATTGGTAGACTGGAAATGGAGTAATGTGGAATATGTGTTGATGACAGATAATGAAAGTTAATAGAAGAACTTCAAATTTTTCAAAAAATGAAAAAATAAAAAAAGATGTCAGTTTCATATTTAGAATATTTTCGTATCACGATTAAAAATCAAAGTTTTATAATCTTTTAAAGTAACCACTTTAAACTTCAAGGCGAGTGTGGATAGAGCGGATGATAGGACCAAGATTAGAGACCTTGCAGATTTCTTCATGGATCGTAAGAAGGTACATGTGATCGTATTCTTCTTGGAAGCCGCGGTAAACAAATTTCATAAGTGTATCACGTTCTTCATCTGTAAGACCTTTGATTGTGGCGGCAAGCTTGCTTTTCTCGATTGATGTGACAATTGTAAGAACGTTCTTGGCAGCGGCGTCCTTGGCATCCTTGAATAACTTAGCGCCTTCCTCGCCTTTCTTGCCTTCCGGATTTGCCTTCTTTTCACGAACTGGCATTTCCTCTAAAACACTCTGAAGAGCCTCTAATGGGTTAGTTCTGACTTTATTTTGTGCATCGAGGAGTTTTGCTGCAAGAGTTTCAGCGTAGGACATTTGATACTGGATAAAAATTCAATATAAAGTCACCTTTCTCCTTCACTTCTTCAGCTCTTTTATCATTGATCAATGATGACACTAAAAATAAGAATTCTCTTAGACAACGTATATATTTTACATACTTTTCGCATCATAATCACATTTGAAGATCTTTTTTTGAAATCTAATTTTCTTTCTGATTGCAAACAAATGATATATTAAGTTTAAATTTTGTGAGCGAAGATAATTATTGAATGATGATAGTCAAACTCATATATTATTTTCTCCAAAACAAAATATTTTGTCCTTATCTAAATTTCTTATAGATTTTAATATTAGATTGATCGGCCAATATAATTTTATTTGAACTCTGCTGTAGTGTCCGATTATTAATTTATGAAATAGATTTTGTTTCTTTTAGGTTCTTTCTAAGATATTTTTGCATACTTTTTTCAACATATGCTAAAAAAGTAACTACGGAACAAAAAATCAAATCGAAATTATGAAAAAACTAAAATTATTCCAATATAAGAGAAGAACCAGAGTAGCTTGGAAGGGAAAGAATAAGCTCTGTACTTAAAAAGATGAAAGAATAAAAAAAATTGAAAAAATTTATCGAAATTGTTACAAAAAAAATATTTAAATCTGCATATATTCCCAAATAATATAAAAACTTCATATATATTTGGTGCCCGAAGGCTAAAGGTCTTGTGGTCTCTTTTGTGTTGTTTCCCACGGATTTCCTTGTACATTAATCACCGATGCTACGCCATGTTTGAATGTGCATTTGTATACTGTTAAACCGGAAACGTCTTTAAATACTGGGAATGTGAGATATGAGAAATAAGACTTAGTAAGAGCAGGCAAGTACCTATTGCCGATGAAGGCAATATGCTTAAATGCCTGGTCTGATCTAAGCTTTGTAACTAATATGTTCAGGAAGACGTGTGACATGCCTGCCTGAACTTATTATTTTTGATTCCAATTTGGTCAAACCGATATTCCTACCGAAATTTTTCTATTAATTTTACCGGCGTGATGCACCAATATCATTTTGATTTTTCAGACTTATTTTCCTTGCAAAACTGATCCATTACTGATGGAAAATTAGCATATTAAAAATAAACGATAATTTTCAAATAAATTGCAAATTTTCAATTTCTTTAATTTTATTGATATTTCCAAGTATTTACCTGCTATATTCATTGGTTTTATCAGCACTCAATTTATATCGTTTAATTTCGAATTAAAAACAATAAAATTTGTAATTATCCATCAAAATCTCGATAAAGCAACTATTCATTTCAGTATATAGCTCAAAATTGATAGGTTAAAATCTGAACTGTTCTAGTTTGAGTATATTCATATTTTTATTCCTTATGAATATGATTTATAATTAATCTCACTCCTTAAGAATATTTTCTGGTGTGACTTCTTCAAGATAAGCAAAATTGGAGTAAATCCTTTCTCCATCAATTGTCTTCCATTGATCAAGCTTGAGGAGTTTTTCATTGATCTTCTTTTGAAGTTCTGGCTGCATTGCTTTTCTCTTTGGAGAATTTGCGCCGTAAACGTCAAGAGAACGAAGGATTGTGAATCCAGCGTAGTTGAAAGCATACATTGCAGACCATAAGTATGCATCAAGACTGTTGCCTTTCTTTACATCAAAGAACATTGGGGCAACACCTGTTGAAACAATGATCGCAACTTTGCGGCCAGCAAGGACTCCTTGATGTAATACTTTCTCGCCATCATAGCTGAAACCAAATGAAAATACACGCTCTGTAAAGGAGTAGAAGCATGCCGGGAGACGGCCAAACCAAAGTGGAGCAAAGACGAGAACATGTGTTGACCATAACAGGTTTGCTTGCTGAACTTTGATTGTATCAATGAGATTATCAGGAATACCCTGATTATTTGAGTAGTTGAATGGATCTGTTTCGACCTTCTTGAAATCCTTAGCAGAAGCATTGACATCAAAACCTTCTTCAATCAAGTTAACATATCTAACCTCATGGCCTGCTGCTTCAAGAGCTGCCTTTGCTGAGTCAGCAAAGCGGAATGCAGTTGCTTTGTGTGTTGGATCTGGATGAGCAACTAAGATCAAGACGTGCATTTTAGACATCACGAGAAATGAACTGACTTAAATTCAATACGAAAGAATTCATTTTTAAATTTTTATAGAGGAATTATTGAATAAGTTATCAGAAATTTTCAATTGAAAATTTTTAAAATTGATCGCTCTTTATAATATATTGTTGTACTTGCGTACACTGCATTATGGATAAATTTTAAAATTGAATTGAGAAAAGCGTTCATAAAATTGTCACAAGTAATATTATTGAACGTAATGCATCCTTTAAGTTTTACAATTTTATAATGTCGTTAAATAAATTGAATAGTTATCAATAGCATTCAAATCCTCACAAAAAATATTTTCTCTGAAAATTGAATTACCGTAGGTTGAATAGCCCGAGACCAATTTCAAAGGTCGTGTACCAATAAAAAATTTTGAATCAATTTACACAACGTGCCCATTTTAATCACTCAATATTTGAGAAAATAATTCAATTTTGAGAAGAATGGTCCTCTGTGTTTTGAGTGAGTGACGAAAAAAAATCTCAGAAAAATTGAATGAGTTTTTATGGCCATGAACCAAATTTGTGAAGTTCCCGTTTAAAAAAATGCAACCAAGAACACGAATTCCCGAGTTTGCAGAATTAGAAAACTATAAAAATCTTGGGCTATTGACCCAGATGCAACTCGATTTACTCTATCGAAGAGTAAATGGCGAGTCTTATCAACAAATACGGAATGTTTACTCAATTTCAAAGACGACAGTAGCACGCGCAATCATGCGCACTGCTACTTGTCGTTCATGGACAAAAGGTCAGTCAGGGGGTGGTATGACCCTTTTGTCACTACCAGATGAAATGCAGTTCAAAAAACTTGTTCAAGAGATGGCAGACGACTTGAACTGTATTACAACATCAATGGCCATTGCTGTCTGTACGGAATTACAAAATAGGAGATTAAAATTTGCGGCGCGGGTACTAATCGCTGCAAGATGCCCGCATCTTCTAGCGAAGCTCGCTGATTACTGCCCATCGCCATCCCGTGGCTGGCTTAATCATATCGCCACAAGATTGTCAATTCGGATTGTGAGCTCCCAAACTATTGATATGCTCCGACGCTCTACCTGTGACGCAAACCATATTCGCCAATTTTTCCTCTCCAAGCATAGATAATTTGCCCGCAGGAAGAAGTTTATTGCGAATATGGACGAGACAATGCTCTATTCCAAACGTCACTGCGAATCGCCCAGTTCGCGCTGAAAAGTCTCAGCTTCCACATCTTACAGGGGTCTGTACCATCTTTGCAGATGGTACAACTATGAAGCCAATGGTGATACTTCCACAAAAGAAGACCCTTGATGCGGAATTGGAAGATCTGGACGCCTTTTTTGTTCGCTCCGAGAGTGGATGGATGAGTTAGTATGACTATCTTGGGTACGGCGGCACTGCGTTCCACCTTACCCAAGTTAACGGTTTGACACTTTACAAAACCGGTAACGTATATTTTACAATACAACCATAACACCAACTTAACCTTAAATTTTTACAAAACCGTCTGACATATAAACGACTTCACTAACGACTTCACAAACGACAACACCAACTTAACCTTAAATATTTACAAAACCATCTGACACATAAACGACTTCACAAACGACAACACCAACTTAACCTTAAATATTTACAAAACCGTCTGACACATAAACGACTTCACTAACGACTTCACTAACATTTTCGCTAACGACTTCACTAACGACTTCACTAACGAATTCACTACCGTCCTCACTAAATAAAAAACAACCTTATTTTATTTTTTTAAATTTTTTATTTCATTACAAAGACATGTCCGACTACATTTACTATGACTCTTTCCCAGAACGTTTCCGTGAACTATTCAAAACTCAAGTAAAACTGAGAAACATGCATTTTAACAAAGACAGACCCATTGACGATGAAAGAAACCCTAAATATATTATAATACCTTATGATGCTAAATTTATTGCATACATTCCTTATGGTCGCAGAGGAACGAAAACTATTTCAACAAAGACGAAAAATTATTTCTGGAGCGATGAAGAAAATTGCCTTATCTACATAAATACATACTTAAATAAAGCTACATATTGTACAAAAGAAGGTTGGACTGGATTTGAGCTCTACATATACGACGACGATGGAAACAGACGTTGTGTATACCCATACGATAATATGTACCATTGTTTTCATCAAGCATTAAACGAATACATAGTCAGTAAGGGTCTCATTCCTGTTGAGTAGATATGTTTTATTTTTGTTCTGTCATTTATATAAAAATAAACTTAAAAATAAATGATATCACCACCCTCACACGTATGAAAACATAGCACAAAAATAAATTTAGGTGAAGTGGTGAGATCTCACCTCTTTTTTCACCTCTTTTTCACCCTGTTGAATTCATTGCTTTATAACTCTCTTCCTTTCTCCAACTCTTCTAACTTCTTCTTAAGTTCAGCAATGTTGTCCTCATGAAGTTTAATCTTTCTCAAAATTCCTTCTTTATCTAATGGTTGCTTTATCTTTCTAAACTGAACTCTACCATCCTTCATAGTATGAACGTAAAAACCTTCTGGAATAGTTCCTGATTTAATGTATTCTACCAAAAACTTTTGTTTCATTGCTTCAGTGACTTTAGTCGTCATTTCAATCAAATAAAAATTTTAATATTAAATAAAAATAACGTTATTTTTTTTCAGTAAGGAAACGCAGGAGTTTTACGATTTATTTGAGGAGTAGGTTCTGGTTTAAATGTTGGAGTCGGTTTAGGAGTTGACTTTTGAATAGGAGTTTGTACTTCCATAGGTTCAGGAGTCATTGAAGGTTTTGCTTGTGAAGGCGTTGGTTTTGACGTTGGTTTTGGCGAAGGTGTTGGAGTTTGTTTAACTTCAGCTACTTCAGTATTATTTACAACATTTGCTTTATTTCTTTTCAACATCATAACTGCTCCTGCTGTAGCTAGCAAACCTAGTGGGAGACCATATCTTATATAAGGACTTGACCAAATGCTATTTTTGACAGGAGCTGGTGGAACACCTAACCTTGGTGAGACTGCTCTTTGCCATTGTGCAGCTCGTAAGAAATATTTAATAGGTGCTCCATAATCGTTTGGTAAAGTTTGTTTCATAGATGGTGAAGGTTCACGAGAGCTTGATGAAGAACTCATTTATAAGCTTTAAAATAAACGTTCATCCTTTATTCCTCACTGTCGTCCGCAGCTAAGTTATAGTCATCTAATCTTATTATTGGGATTCCATTAGCACGCACCTGAATGGCAAAGCAATAATCCCTCATAAATCCAATAAGTGGCTTTGGTACATTTTCAGTTGCTAGTTCAATAGGTCCTTTAACAGACAATTTGTATGTTATTGGAGCAGTAGATGTTTGACCTTGCTGGAAGCAAAAGTCCACTTCTGTTGGAAAACCACATAAGAAATGTGTGTTGTCATAGCTATCCCATTTATGTTCCACACTACCATCATCCACCAATGACCTCATAACATCTTCATTAAATCCAATCATATCATTGTTTGTATTGCAAGCGTTCGCAACCATTTCATAAAATACAGGTCCATATGATTTTTCAGGTTCTGCAGGCATATTTCCATAAGCTCCCATGGAAAGCTGAAGATATTTAAACTTAGGGTTCTCAAAATTAACATAATAGTTGTCTTTCTTTCTAAATAGTGCCCAAATACTTTTAACATTAATAGGCGTATAAGCTGCTGTAAATGTTGCACTTTGAACTATCTGTATTCTTTGAGAATGAACCGTCCATAGGAATCCAATCCATAACTTTAACAGGAAAACATAAAGCCTCGTTTGTATAATGTTCTACAAGTTCTGTATAAATGTTAGGGTCTAAAGAGAATGATTTTGGATGAATGAAACATTCATTAAAATCCATCTTTGTTCGAAATAGTTGCTGGGTTACAGTTGTAATAGTAACTGTTCCACTAGCTTCTATTGCCTTCGTTATCATAGTGAATGGTTCATTCCATGGAACAAATTTATTTGTCGGTGGATTTGAATCTGAAGCAAATGCAACTTTAAGAGTTGGATTGAAAGCAACGATATCATTTACAGATATAGATGTGCATTGTAAGGCGTCGCTACTGAACTTTACTTTAAGCTGAACGTTTCCAAAAGCTGGAATAAATCGAATAGCTTCTAATGGAAGGAATCTTCTAACAGGAATTCTTAAACGAAGCTTAAAATCAAATGATTTTCCTGCTGTAATTGGACCACTAACAATTTGTCCTGTTCTGCATGTTCCCGAATGACTCCATACATCTTCATGTCGAGTCTTTGAGAAAACATCTACTTTCTTTATTTGTTCGGTAGTTTGTGAGTTTGAAGTTATATATGCTTCTTCTCTTGCGTTGTCTTGAGAATATACGATACGACCATTTGCAAGGATTTGATATCCAGCAACTGCATAGAAAGCGTCATCGAAACCAATCCAAAATCCTGGTGGGTTTGTTTTATTGGAACCTGAACCAATTTCTTTATCTACAATAAATTGACCTTCCATTTTATACGTAATGAATGTATTGTAAAGGTCCAACATATTTTCACCAGGAGGTGAGAGATTGAATGTTACCCATGTGTTATCTTTAGCAGTTCCAGGTTGTGATGGAATCTTTGCGTCAGAATATTTTCTATTAGTGTCACCAATTTGAACTGCATTGTCTATGATATCGAAATATGAGCGAATCTGATGAATATGCTCTGCTGGAGTACATTCGTTTAGCTGTTCGTTCTGCATGTATTTACTTCAGATAAAAATATCTATTTACTTCATTATTCTCACTTCTTCTTCTTGACATTCGTGTGGAAGTTGTTTTTTGACATTTTCAATGAACTGTACATTCTCTTTTGTCTCAACTTCTTTCACTGGTGGGTCAGGGTTCTTTGACTCGGTTTGTTTTTCAATGAAATTCACGAACTTTGCAATAAGCTCTTGGTTCGTTATTGAAAGAAACATCTGGCTTCTTTTCTTCTGGTTCTATTGACTTTTCAGTTTGAATAGAAGGTTTTATATGGGCTTGCCCTCGGTGCCATGCACCTTAATGTTGTCCTCTCTGTATTCGCTAATGGAACCTTTCTTTTTCTTACATATATTTACCATTTTACTCTGATTTACGTAATAGAAAGGATGTTGTATTCCTCTGGCGTCATTTAATATAATAGACTCTCGTTCTGATTTTGACAAGCTCATTTTACATCGGTTAAAGTTTTAATTTTGTTTTTTATCTGCAGTCAAATGACTCAGACAAGCCCTACGGAACAAGACCCAAGGGTCATAGATGTTGAAGCATTGAAGAAAGAAATTCGTGAGCAATTTTATCCGAACTGAAGGAACAAAAACAAGAACAAAAGCCAGAGAGACCAAAGAGAAAACTTAAGTGAAAAACAACTTGCTGCATTAGCTGCTGGAAGACAAAAGAAACCCACGTTTGCTGGCGAAGAAAGCTAGAGAAGAAGCTGAAGCAAAGAAAGAGTAAATGTTTATTTTTATCGGAACTAAATGTATAGACAAATACCTTTATCTGTTGCGTTCAGTAGTGAAAACCCTGACGTCAAAATAAAGGGGAACAGAGTTACGTTTAAGTTTCCAACAGACTGGATTGTGAACATAAATGAAGAGAAGTACATTGGCATAACATCTATGTATATAACACGTGCTTTCAGAAAGGTTGACTTTATACTTCAAGTCGAGATAGAAAATGACGAACAGTCTTTAAGCGCCCCAAAACATTCACATATACAAATACTTTAAAGACGTACAACATTGTTGCAATGTATGATTTCATTTAATGAGATGTTCGAGAAAAAGTTCAACATTGAGTACAAACTTTACAGCCTTTACGTGAGTTTCTTGCACAACTGAAAGAAGAAGGTAGTCAGCCACAACTTATAGACTTTCATTATGAATTTAATGAAAAATGAAGATGGAACACATGACTGGTCATTTGTTATATATTCACCATTCATGAAGTCGCTAAAAAGAAAGAAAATCCATTACGTATAAGATTTCAAATCTCTGAAACCAAGTGATGATTTCAAAAAATGTTTTCAATTATGATGCAATGCTTCCGAGGAAAAATGAATTTTCAAAGATTGTAACACCTGGCATT